TTCAACACTGATTTGTAGTTTCGCGATCCGGTTTGTGCATGAACAATTATTACGAAATCCAGCCTGTTGATCTTGAAGTTGGGCGTCTCATGAATCTTTCATGCGGTTAAACAATACTATTGAAGACGTTTCCTAGTGGTGCGATGCCTCTACAGTTTTCACATTTGCTCAGATCTCCTTTCCTTGGTATCCAGATGAGGTATCATTCATTCCAGTTTGTCAGCACTTGTTCTTCCTCTCAAATCTTCCTGAATAGAACATGGAGCATGTTTGCAGCTGTTTCTGCTTGTGACATGAGTGATTCAGCTGGTAAATTTTCAGGTCTAAGTTTTCCCACTCTTGATTTGTCTGGTGGCTATCCTGTTCTTTTCGACTGTTGGTTGAGTAGCATTGTTGAGAATGTCTGTAGGTGCTGTTTCGGTGTTCAGTAGATTCAGTGGATCTGGTCTGTTCGAGAGTTCCTCGAAGTATTCTACCCTCTGTTCTTGAATTTTAGTGATCGTATCACTTTCTTTGTCTAGCCTTCTTTCGCCTTCATCGTTCTCCCTGGTTTACTATACTTCCCTGCCAGTTTTTTTGTCGTGCTTCATATTTATTTCATATTTTCTTCCGTTGCAGCTTTATCCGCTGTCTATGCTAGGTCTCACACATATTCCTGCTTGTCGACTCTAGTGATTCTCTTCACTTGCTTGTTCACCTCGGCGTATTGATTTTGTGTCTTAACTTTATCTGTTCTGGTTCGACTGTCGTTAATTGTTGTCTTCTCGTTCTTCCTGTATTGAACCATGAATCTTGCTTGTTGCGATCCAGAAGTTCTTCACATGTGAAAGTTAGTGCTTCTCTGATCCCTTTCCAATTGTCTTCTTGTTGTTTCTTCTTCTTTCACTAGATTCTGTTATGTTTGTACTCTGATGTTAGAATCTATCATTAATTGATTGTGTTTGTGGGGAAAGCTGTACTGAATATTTTTAGTGCAGTCTTTCGAGTTGTCCATTGCTTCTTTAGCTTCAGTTTCATATTAGTAATTACCAGCTGGTGGTGATCTTTGGTTATGTCAGCTCTTCTCCTTGATCTCACGTCTTCCTCATGACCCTCCAATTTTTTCAATTATGAACATATGATCAATGTGGTTCTGTGTGAGTCACTCGGTGAAACCGGAGTAGCTTTGTGTATGCGATTTTGTGAGAGTATTGTGCTGCGTACACCCATTTTGTTGAGTGCGAATGCCTCACCTTTCTTTTTCTTTTCCCCAGTCAGTCCTCCCATGATATTTTTTTGATACCATTTAGAGCAGTCATTGTTGTCGACGGGTTCGACACTTTCGTGACCTGAGATATGATCCTAGTTGGGTCATTTGATTTGTTGTTATTGGAATGTAAGTATCGTCTATTCTCGTATAAAAATATCAGCTAAATTCACGTTTGTGAATAACGTATATGATGGTGGATTTTTGAATACGAATATTTTATATGCTCATTGATCTAAACTGACAATCAGAGGAACAAAGCGAAGAGAAATGAGCTTGTGAGTCAACTCACATTAGTGAAGATTTAACAGATATTTGTGGTCGGGCGGAAAAACGTTACAGAGTTTGACCAATAAGATGAGAAGTGCGCACATATGCGGTAGCAATGGAAAAGTTAGATTGATAAGCGCATAATTAACAAGGTCAAAATGTGGCTCAAGAAAAGCTAGTTAATTGATTTGTCCGGAAGCTAGAATATGATTTGTAGGCTTGAAATAGCAACCGACACCACAATATTTCCATATTTGTTGTTGTCCATTCCGAATTTGGCGTTTACTTCTTTCACTAAGATTGTCAGGTTTTTTTCCTTTGCACTTCTCTACTATCGACTGAAATGTCTCATCTGACCGATCTTCGCCGTCTTCATTGCTATCGTTGATGGGTGCAAAACATTGATTTTAATTTGCTCCTAATTTGTACTGAATGATGATTTGAGGATTCCGGATCCATCAGTTTCCCATACTATGAGTGCATTATATGCCTCTTTGAACAGCATCAGAACAACTCCCTGAGTTTGTATAACACTATTTTTCGTAGAATGCAGCAGCAACTCCTGAATGTAATTTTCTCCACTCAACTAATATCCAATGTGTTCCATTCATTTCGAGCACTGTCGAGATGTGTGTCCTCGTTTCGTATCTATTTGATTAGTCCTCTCGGTATCCCACGTTGTGTGGTCATTCCATGTACCTATATTAATTTTTGCTGTGTTTGTCAGAAAGGTCGTCGGCCTCATGACTTTCAAAGAATCTTGGATTTCATCATGAAGTGTGATAATTGTTCCTTCAACTCGTAGGGCGGAGTTTAAAATGCTTAATTTGTTCAATCTGGTTGGTGTTTGTTTAGGAAGACTGTTTTCTTTGGGGTGGGGTTTTCGACCCTATGACGAACTCTTCTTTGTGTGGGCCTGGGACCAGAAGCACCTCAAGAAAAGCCACAAGCTGAGTCAGGCTATCGTCGAAGGACAGAATCGTCAAAGTTGAAATTACTGGCGATAACAACAGGATTAGTTAACGTTTAAGGAAACCGTTCATAGTCCGCAGTCATTCAAGTAAATCACATTAGAACTCCATATAATTCGAATTTGACAGCGAACTGGCGTTAATTGCATATCAACTAATAATTCAGTATATACCATGTACTAAGCTAATAAATGCACTTACCAGAACCATTAATATGCTAATGATGGAGGTGTTCGAATCCGAAATCTGCTTATAATCAAATTCGTTAGGCTCAGTGGTATCCATTACATCAATAATCGATCTATTCCTTGACAGTATATAACGCCATAAGATTCTGTGTATATATCCAGATATCCCAACTAAGTCACACTCTACACTGACATTAGTATGACCAACAATTTCAAAATGATTGATTTGAGTCACCGGGAAAATATAATTACTGTCAGCGATAAAATTCCTTTGGGACCCATAAGCATTCCACCAAGAAGCGTGCGCACACTGAACCGATGCTTTCAATACTCATGGCAATGCTCCGAAACCCAGTGTGTGTCTATAGCGTCATATCCGATTATGACTCTCATCCTATTCCTTCTTGTTCTCGAAAGAGTTATTTCCTCCTGGTACTTCCGCTGTTCCAAATGTTATTTGTTTTATTGTCCTGTATCACAGATAAATCACCTTTTGATCACGTAATTCCTGCTAATTTGTGTGAATTGGTAATCAATAGTGTCACTCATTGTCGTTACGCTTATCGACATTTCATTACCTCAGAGACGCAAGTGAACGGTTGTTTCTTCCAATAAATGAGAAGTATCAAAACCGTTATCTGAAAAAGCTTGTCAAACTTCAGGAGCATGTACCTCAACCAGAGTAATACCCGAACAAATCTCCGACGAGTTTCAGTCCCTAGGTAAATTAACTACACGGGTTGTGTTATCATTAATACGTAGCAGTGAATGGTATTGAACATTGAAGTGTTCAACTTCCCGCTTCAAACAAGACATACATGATTTTACGTCATGACGAATAACATAGACTTGACCTTTTTACTTTCTGTCTACTATACAAAGCATTCATTTTCGATAAGTCCGTCTCTCTTTCTGACCACCTAGACATTAATCGCAACTGAAAGACGTAGACTAGTAGCTTATCTTGTGCTTAAATACAATATGGAGTTCACTTGTGCTGATTCGGCATTCATAACCGTTTTTAATAACATTTGATTTACATTATGCTAGACTCCTGTAACATTTTCGAGAAAACTCTCCAACTTTCACGAAGGCAACCAGTTTATCGATGTTAGTTTCCTTGGCATCCTTCATGGTCTTATCGGCAGCTTCTGCCATTTATCAAATTAGTAGCGCATTTATTCCTACACCAGATGTGAAGTTACCACTGTACATATATCCCGTTTGTTTCAACATTGTACATATATATGGCAGAGCTCAAACACGAAGTTGGTCAATTCATCTGCCGAACATCCAACAGGTTTATGGTTGAGTAACTAAATATCAATTTCCAAATTCAACATAAAAAAAATCCCCAAACAACTTGTTCATACATTCTGTCTTCAACAATGGCTTATGCTCGCAAAAAAATATGAGGCAAAAGTTAATTTTGAGTTCGCTTGTATGCATATGAACCGAAGAAGTAGCAAGTCGTTTAGACAAATGTGACGTACCCCAGCTGCGATAAAATATATACCGTACTAACAAGAGTACATTATAATTCATTTCTCTTGCTGCTGTTGAATGACCACATGTGAGTATTCAGATGCAGTAGAACTAAGACCAAAGTGTCAAAAACTAGTTTTCTGAGTGAAATGCATTGAAAATACTAATTATGACATAAAATCAATGTTACACGCTTCCTGTTTAGCTCGCTGACGACACACTTACGCAGACAAAATTAAGTGTGTAACTAATACTGGTTAAAAGTTGTATTGACACGAATTGACTCATCGCCATACTAGATTATTCTCTCAGATAATGATATCACATTTTAGACATAACACGTATGTTACCATAAAGCACTATCTTCATCCAAAAAGTTGAAGTGTAACACGTGATGTTGACACTTATTTAAAAGCAGGAGAGGTTTAAAACAACAGCATACAATTCGGAAACAGTGAACGTCTGAGGGCGGAAGAAGTGAGGTGCTATCAACGACGTATATTTATTTCAAAACACAGGCAATTCTGATAGAATAAGAAAGGCATATTTACAAATTTGTCTCTTACATCATTTCGGAAGTCCAGTGTACTAAGGGGTTGCGCTTCTTTTTTATTTATTCTCAATTATCCTGAAATAAAAAACAGATTACTTTAATAACATCAAATTTTTAGTTCTGATACGGAAGACCAGTTTAAAAATTCCGTTTTTTTAAAAACCACCATAGCTTCAGTAATACAACATAGCTAATAGCAGCAACACAAAGAACATGAAAATATTTTTTTACTTCATCTTCCTGGCAATTCAGATGGGCAATTTTAGGATACCAAAATTATAACCTGAGTACACGACCTTGTGTTGCTTGTTTGAATGTATCACCAGAGAATTAATAATATTCGAAGGCATTTTGCTGTGAGAAGATCCATATGATGAGGCAGGATATCCTGAGTTTATCTTGATCAAATTTAATAAGTTTGCATATTTGGAGCATTCTGTTTTATAGGTGAGTGAAATTTAGTGCACAATGATTTTGTACATTGTTTTGTACGACCTGTTCATTTTGTTACATTCACACCTGGCGATTGACTGTCTTTTTGAAGGTGTTTTTCACTTGCGAAGTTATGCATACATTATCATTAATGTTTATTTGCCCTCGGTTAAATCACTGAGTTTTAAATGACGACTATTGACGAAAAACTTGTGCTGTTACATTACGTCACATATTACTAATGTTGTCTAGGAGATTTACAGTTCCGTAAATAGGATAATACTTTCTTTCTTCTGGAGCTCACTCGTATCACTTTATTAGACTCACATTCGTATTATATGTCTTGGTAATGGTTGGTCTAATCAGTCATGCATCGCATAACTTGATACATTCACTGGTTTCAGCTGCCGCATCACATAATAACAATAACAAAATTATCAAGATAAGTCTTCTAGTGGTAAGGGTCAGTAGTAGTACAATAGACTAGGTTTAGGAAAAAACGAAGGATTTGAGATATTACGGTTATTGGGTCGATGAGTCCATCTGTTCTGTAGTGAATGGTTCTTGTTGATTTTCTGTCTTGAGTTTGTATTGTCTTTCTTCTATCCATTCAAGGCATCTATTTGTAGACCTATACTTTGAAAATGTCCACATAATATGTCTGAACTCAATTTATGTAGAATATAATGATTTTTCCTCTTAATTATCTTGTTGACAAGCTTCTTGTCCAATGTCAAGTGCAAACGACTGTATTTATGTCACCAGTAGTTTGCTTTCTGTGTCATATAATAACCTAATAATACATGATCACACGACACTGCATTTTCTATCGGTCCGAAACTGAACAGCACTTAAAAATATTGAGTAAACTGATCACACAAACGTATACTTTTATAAGAGGATACTTTACACGAATTAATTGTGCAAAGAAACAATTCCCAAGATTTCTTTACAATATACTGTGTTGGTATGCGACAATTTAAAATTAGCTAAGCAGTTTTGATATCTTGGTCTTCATGTTATCATATATAATCACTTAAAGTAATAAGGCCATTGGTTTTATCTTCGCTTTCGCCCTTGTAACCAGCTGATTAGGGTCATTATACATTGTGAGATTTCAGCTTCGCTCTCTAAGGCATACTAGTTTAGTCTTATCTGCATGAACCATTTCAACTTGAAACATTATAAGTATTATCTTGGTAGGTCATCATTATTGAACCTGAGTAGTTTAGGATGACTATGTAGTACGGATAATTGGCTTGCATACTCATATATATAATCTATACCATCCGGTGGCTGGCTATTTCAAAGTTTCATTTCAATTTATTCTTAGTCTGACCATTATTTTTGTAAATGAACCTTATGACAGTTGGAAGAACAGAAATTAACTTATAACTGACTACTTGGATGTTCAGATATTCTGATATGAAACCACATTAATAATTGATTTGGTATAATGCGATTTGGAAAAAAAACTCCCAAAGTCGTGGAATCCCTGCTCGTAAAACACAGTAGTAGTAGATTCATCGTCTCAGCGTTTCTTTGCTTCAAGTGCTTCTTGTGTATTAACGTTCTCTTACCATTCGAAACGAAATCATACTTGTCTAGCGCTTTCACAAAATGATTCACTTGCAGGTATTTCGAACCCCAAACGCTTCGTATTCTTTTTTAAAGTTGAGTTTAAACCTTGGAATTCTAATGATTAAATAATATAGTTTAATATTTCTGAGTTGAAATGTCTACACAGTGCGACCTATCATTGTAATATAACGCCCTCAACTTTGGTATGTAAAGCATGACAAAGTGAATGCCTTTGTGCCACTGTAACTGGACTTAGACCATAACACAGTGTCTGTGATCGTCCTCGGTTAACATTCGAACCTACCACGACGGCTCAAAGTGGCAAGTAATGACTTTATAAATTAATGTTGTAAAAAAGTTGAATGAGGAGCATTCAAACGCATGAGATTAGTAATGGAAACTATTTAGTAACCAAATTTTGGTTACTATTTGAAAGACCTGAAAGGTTAGAGTTAGTAGCGATTTATGAACATTAATTACTACACTAAAGATGTATTTGTGTTTAATTTTAACTCAAGCTTAGTCGTTCAATATTTAGTCGCGTGTATATTTTATCCCGCCTAATATTGGCTGGTGTAAGAATACGTCGGAAGGAAACTAATGGTGGTCAAAACAAAACATAATATCAGTCCATGGAGTCATCGACTGTTGAATTGATCTGAGTAGACAGGTAAAGACTATCTGGTTAGGGTCCATGTGACTATCGTAACCAATAGTTGGAGGTGTTTGATGATATATCTCAAAAGTGGTCTTAACAAGACAGACCTATTCACTCTTTGTCTTTCGTTATGTCTTCAGTTTTGAAGTTATCTTATGCTTTTCTGTTCCGAGATTTCATGGTTTCTTCTCGAGTCACACCGTTTATGGCTACTGTTTTCAACCACCACATATACTATTGCTTTATGCACTACCCTAAAAGTTATCTTAATAATTTAATCTTTTTGTGCTCGTATGGCGTAAGGATCGATGCACATATGTGCCAGGTTATATGTGTATGAGTGATTAACCAATTTATTCAGTAAGCTATTTCAATGGATCATCGAAGTGAATCAAAAGTAGAAAATAATTAATAGGTTGAACTGTTAGTGTATGTACGTAATATGCGAGGTAACTAACTTATCAAACATCTACAAATGTGTGAACTACGCTGTGATTTATAAGACGGTGTGGGCTTGCAGGATATAAACCAAAAAACTAACTGAAAACTGACTGAACAAATCAAGTGGCCTCACGTGCATAATCAAAAAATAACAAAATATTCTACTTTAATTACTTCCGTATCACGTTTCAGATCTCAAAAAAATAATGCATCATAACATGGTAACTCAACATGACAATCCTTCCATAACTATATACCATACACCAATAGTTTTATTCAGTTTCTATTTTTATCAACAAGCTTTGTTGTGCTAAAACAAACAGAACATAGATTACAGTTTCTTCCATTATGGCGAATTTATAGTGCATCTTAGTTTTCCACCATAATGGCTTTATTTTTCTCAAACCCATTTCGGCTTTGACCAAGTACTGACACTATCTTTCACACAGTACGATACGTAAACATTTACTTAGCAAATAAATCATACTGGTTACTGTTATTTAGCCTTTAATACATGCCCTACAGTTTAGTAAATGAGTTAGTATATGACATAATTCTCCGCCTTTAATATAATAAAGAGGGAACGAATTGAGCGTAAAAATATACTTTCAATTTCTTCGCTCAATTCGTTCCTTTGTTTGCCAAGTGTCAAAATGGGAATTTTCACTTTAATATAATGATAAGTACATATTCTGAAAATAATAATTATAGAATTCATGCCTGTAAACTAACATGATCACTTACTGTACGGTGATAGTCGTAAGGAACGTGCACCATCCCAGGTTGGTTTACCATACATCATATGTCTGACAAATAACACTGATGTACATATTGTTTTACCCATCTGGAGTAGTGGATCACTGGTTAAGACATTCGACTGTAAGTTACCAGGTTGCAAGTTCGGACGCCACTCTACGTACTTCAATCTAGACTACCGGTCATTATCACTAGCCCTTCTACTTAGAATGTGAATTTTACCTTGCAAGTGAGTTAATATATCAAAACTCATTTGAAAATCTCAATTGAAAATATTGCTTGACGACATTAACGTGTAAGGACAAACCTCCAACATCCAGCTTAGCACCTTTCTCTATCTACATTAGTTAGAGGAGATACGGCAGCGAAACGTGACCATTAAGAGTAGAAGACACTCGTAAGCTACTAGTATTTGACCACAGATACCTCAGAAATATTGCTGGCGTCTGCTGGGATCACCGGGTATGTAATAGTGAGGTTAGACGCAGGTTACTAGGAAATGATGGTAAATCAGTTGATGAGGTTGTGAATCTTCATCGACTGAGATGGTTGGGCCACGTGTTACGTATGTCCGAACACCGATTACCACGACGTGCAATGCTAATCGGTGTTCGGGATGGTTGGAAGAAAGTTAGGGGCGGCCAAACCAAAACGTGGCATCAGTGCTTGAAGTCACTAACTTGTAGTCTGAGCCATATTGGGAGATGCAAACTACTTAGTTGTGGTCCGCATGACTATCGTAACCAATGGTTGGAGACTCTTGGTGACATGGCTCGGAATCGATCACACGAGTCGGTGTATACACTCTCTGTCTTCCCTTAAACTAAGAGATTAAAATCGCTTCATATCTTTCTTTCTACGAACTAATTCTTTCTTCCTGTACTGTATCCTTATATGCAATCTTTCTTTTATATATTACTACCACTGAATTAACTACTTCTATGTACTTGGTGTTCATCTTGTTGTGTTAATGAGGTATGGCAACTTGAACCGATGTATATATGCGCCTGGTCCTACGTTGTAGCTGACTGAGAGGAGAAATATGTCTGGTGTTTGGAACTACATTTAGTTATTGAAAGTTACAGTAACATGATCATCAAACGTACATAAATCAAAGCTGATAAATACTGAAGAAAACAATGATAATGGACAAAATGAGTCATATGTTAAAATGGATTTTAAAAAAATGAATTAATGAAAATAGATGAGTATAAAAATTGATTTTTAAAATTGGAATCCATACTTAGTACTAACTCATTTCACCAAAAGTTAGGTTAACAAGGCAGTGTTGTTTTTTCTCGCGGTCTTCAAGAAATAGTCTAAATATACACACCAAGTCTATCGATCATTAGTTAATAAATGTAGTTTATCAACCGAGTACATGTTTTTGAACTGATATTTAGTAATACTTCCGTACTAAGCGAATGAAGCTGAGACGATTGTGAAAAGCAAGAATAAAACAGATTGAATTCAAGTGCATCACTGTGGTCGATTTCCAGTCAGTTCCTCTGTTATCTACTACGATAGAACAAAAGCTACTCATGTCCCAGACTTTAGAACCGATGGAGGTTTATGGTTACACCAGTAAATTTGGTGTTTTTACCTGATTTACTATTCACAGCCCCTCTGTACTCATCTTTTTGTAGTTTCATGAAGTGTAATAAATACGTTGTAAGCAGTCGTAATCAAATACTCTCAACCTTAATTTTTCTAGCTTCATATGCTATGATTAATGTATGTTGTTCAATACAGAGTGAACTGTTACTCACTGTACTCGCACTTTGATAGGTAGGAAAACATCTCGCATGTGCTAGACGCAGCACAAATTGGCTATGATTATCCGTGCTTTATTGTATCAATACAGAGTTTTCATTCAACAACTCGTCATTGACTAAATAGGTTTACAAGATAAGTCACATAATCAGTGCTGTTGACCACTCCACTTCCATCCATGAATTCAGACTAGCTCTCAAGCTTCATTTTGTGTTTACAAGGACAAAACAACCCTATTTATTTATTTATTTGAATACATAAATGTTGGTAAAAAGGGGCACCAAACACATATGCGCCACACAAGTCACTTGATTTGTGTGTGGTCTGTGATACATTTGATGGGTTTTTGTTCTCTGAGCTGGATTGTTTGGTCGTGGAGCTTTCATCGTTCCTCTGAACGACATTATCAACATAAACGTCAAGTAGAAGCGAAGTGTTCGAATTTCTGTGATACTGCCCAGGTACCTAGAGCCTTAGACCTAAAGTTCTGATCCACAAGGTAATCGAGCAACGTCGAGAGATGCAGTCTCATGGTAGCTGATGACCAACAATAGGTTCATACGCCATTTGTTCCCTCAGGATCATGGAGCCTATGTGCACCATTGGTTTAGAATCAGGGTTTTCTAACTCCCCTATGTGGATCTTTTATGTTCACCAACGTAGTCAAAGTGCCGAACATTCGCTTTTCGTCCTCTCAATTTCATAAACAACCACCCGTTTTGCGGGAAGGCAGTGAGTAGGATTTCCCTGATAGTGGCTGTGTACTTATGGCCATGTGAGAGCATTTCGAGAGGAACAGCTAACTCTCTCCATCCTTTGCCTTACCAGGGCATAAAGCCTTATTATTTGAGGTTTTCAAAAGACTGTACCATATCATTACTGTCACTGAACCGAACCATGTTGTCTGTATACTTTAAGTGAGTGGGCCTCGGTACGAAATCTTTCTCTCTTACAAGTTAAACAAAGGAAACATCTGGTTTCCTTAAACTTCATTTCACTGCGTTTAAATTATTTAATTATTGAGTTGACTTTTATACTTGCTTTCGTTAAATGTCTTAAATGGTTTTTCGTATAGAAATTTTAAATGTGATTTTTTTTCTTTATATAAAGGGATAATGTCTGCTTTAAAATTAGAAGATCCCACGGTAGATGTCGGTGATATCGAAAAATATCGTATGGCTTTTTTAATGCAGTTTTTTGTACAACATAAACGAAGATTTCGATTTCCACGTCTTCGCTTACAGGTATTTACTTGATTATTTTATCCAGATCTTCAATTTTTATGGTTTATCAGTAGTAGACAATGTGGTTTTTGTTTTGTGAACTCTTAGGTCTAGTTTTCAATTTCTTCCCTTTGTTGTTCAGAGGAAAACTATTGCAAATTATGGTACTATTTCAGATGGTTATTTTGCAACATAGGACTGTGAAATGAGATGTGTTTGTGTAGAGCTCTCATTTGTTAGTCCTCCACAACTCCCTAGGTGGGTTTCTATGGATTATGCAAATCGATGTTTTGAGACTTTATCAAACATAGCTAACAACAGAAACTAGTGGTTATCCCACCATAATTTCCCATTACTTTCTTCGTAACATTTAAATGAAACTTCATTTGTTGATTAAATAAATCTCATTTCCATTTCTACTGAATATCATTCGAATGTACATGTGGCATATTTTTTCCGGCTCCTATTGTTTGAAAATACTTTTGGCTATAAATAAATAAAAAAATAATATTAGCTAACTAACTTTTTATTGTTAATGGAACTGAATAAAGTTCCGAAAACATTTACTCCATGGTAATTTTGCTGTCTTGTTTAGTTCATCGGTAATACATTAAAAGTTTTGTATTTAAGTTAGACAGAAGAAAGGAAACAATATTCATTGTATTTGTATAGTAAGTTAGCTTATTACTTCTTTAATCAATCTTTATATGGCATCAGTGCAATAATCTTGGTTTATGATTGTCTAAACTTAAAATCCATCACCTGGTATTCAACTAGTATAGCTATTCATTCATTAAGATATTTATCTTCAGGGAATAGATACTACTCATATCATAGTTCAGAATTCTGTACATATTTTCCAATTTACACATCTTGAAAAAGTTATTTGAAAGCGGTAGAATTATCTAGATTTCTCATGGTAAACTCACTATTTTATCCAGTATTCATTGATTTATGAAGCTGTAATACTTCGAGACTACTGAGATTAAGGTCTTGTAATTAAGATACGATAACTTTTATATTCGTGAAATCGTTTTCTGTATATATCTGTACATTTCATCTAAGAAAAATGCCTAGTACGATTGGTGTACGAGTAAACTAGCAAAACGCTAGATGAAGTTAAACTAAGACATATCACTAGTTCATGAAGTCATTGACAATTGGAGTGAATTTTACTAATCGGTTCAGACTACCTGGTTAGATTTCACGTATTTACCGTAATGAATTGTTAGCAACTTTTGGTGACGTTGCTCACAATTATCTTTAAGGACGCGAGGGCATTCAATTTTTGTCTTTCCTTAAAAATTGAGTCCCTCAATTTTATAACTTTTGTTTTTTTAATTCTATACCTAATCTTTTCTAATACTACTGATACTGTTATTGCTTCTACTAATTCGGGATTTGTTTTGATAATTTTATCTCGCTATAGTAATAGGGTGTGACAATTTGAACCAATATACATATGTGTCAAGTTCTATTTTGCACATAAACTGATTAACTAAATCAACTAATTTTACAAAAGTTTTGTCTGTAAAAGGGATAAGCTTAAAATAGTCATAACAAAATTTAGCCTATTATTAACCAATCAGAAAATAGTGATTGTAAATAAATAGTCTATGGATCGAAATAAAGCAAATTCTTACACAGATAAGTAAAAAAAAACAAACAACGACATAGCAATTTATCCATATAAATGTAAAACATTCACCTTCTTAAACTCTTATAAGGATATAAGTTTCCAAATCGTTCCTGATTATGATTTAAGGATAAGGTTAATTTTGTGTTAGATGCAACCTATACAAAAAGTATTGAACATTTATTACATATAACATCACTTTTTTGTTTACTCTACGATGATAGAAAATAGTTTCTAATTATCATTTTACATATTCTATGCATTATACTGACTGACTGAGTTAATCAGTCAGTAACAACGTAGAACTTCGTACGTACGTACATCAATTCAAGCATTATACAAAGATATGTCAATTGTGTTATTTTATGTGATTCAAGATAAAAGTGATCGATTTTGTTGTTGTTGAATTTCTCTCATTTTCTCAACTTCGACTAATCTCTACACTGTATTTTTATAATTTTATCATTGGCAATAAATAATAATAATAATAATCTAATCTGAAAATAATTACAAAATTCATGCCGATTCATAGACATGATCAAGTTGATACAGATAGCAATGTTATGTATAAATGACAGATGTATAATTTTTAATTGTTTGGATTGGTCAATAATTGTTTAGGGAGAGCATTTTTCACATGGATTACAACAGTATGAGATATTCTTTGAGAACTACTAATTCTTTGTCAGTCGACATGCTGTTAATGTATGAACAGTGTATTTGTGGTCATTTCCTTTTCGAAAATTGAGTGATTATAGTCATCTGTAACAGGGTACTATGTGGTTATGTTTCCTAACGTTGCTCCACTGCCTTGTGGATTAGAGCTGTAGGTGAAAAGCTCGATCAGTGATTCATTAGGAAAACCATCTGCTTTAGTTTGGCCAACTGGGTAATTTCTCAGCTCTTACACAAATTTTGTGTGGTGCCTGTATATTTTAGCAGCTACAGAAAAAAACGGAACAACAACAGTAATAATTACTATGATCAGTCTATTGTTATGCATGTTCCAGGTTGTTAGGAATAAATATGATTTCAGTCAGCGAAGTTTACGAGGGACGGCATAACTGTAAAATATATACAGGTAGGGAAGTTTGATGAATGGTCTCGGTAGTAATAATGATTAAACATTTATCTCTCTTCTAATTTCATTAGTAGAATGGGATGTATCTAAAGGTTTATGAAAATGTAAGGCAATCTTCAGATACAATGAACAATTAATGGAGGTGATGTGATTTCACGGACATATTGAGGCATATTACTTCAAAGCCTCAAACATTTTCTGGTAAATCGTGAAGATTTAAGATGAGATCGCTTCACTAATGATAAACAGTTACGGATGCTATAACTAGGTGTACTTGAATAGTAGATTGCATCAGTATATATAAAAGATAGTTTATAATGTATTCTAAAGAGAAAAATAAGATTAAATTTGGTTTCATTCCTCATTTCTATAAAGGGTCGAGTTCAAGCTTATTATATATCTAGATATACATAGTCAAATGTATAGTCATTCCCAAGAATACAAAGTGTAAATTGCCTCTAAATAAATGCCAACCGTAATTTATCTTTTTATATATGAACACTACTAAATAGTACAATCAACTCTTGCTATCCCCTAAAAATGGAAAAAAGATAGTTCAACTAATTTGTTATGTTTTTTTTTTCTTTCAATAACACATTTGTCGATAATTTTTTCGTTAATTTCAATAATCTGTTAATCAATCGTTTTGTTTACTCCCCATATATCTATATCTATATACATATATTCAACTTGAAAAAGGGAAAAAAAAGTGATCGGATATTTTTCCAATAGTTGGACACTCTGAGTTCATAAGATTTTTAGAATTTACATTTCTGTTAGTGTAATACTACTACTACTACTACTACTACTACTACTACTAATAATAATAATAATAATAATAATAATAATAATAATAATAATAATAAAGAATAAATCTAAATCAGTTTAACACACGAAAAAAAGTAAAAAAATCAACAAAACTTATCAAAATTCATTTGTTATATGTGGATGCATAGATCTGGGGGTGGTTAGACCAAAAACATGACACAAATCCATGAAGTCACTGACAAGTGGACTGAGCCATATTGGTAAGTGTAAACTACCTGCTTGGGATCCGTTAGACGATAGCAACCGATACTTAAAGGCCTTGAATGACATGGTTCAAAAATCGTTTGAAATGATGCAAGTGTTTCTGATTACTGCTGATACTCTTATTATGTCCAAATAAGCATAATGAATGATAACTTTTGGGATCCATTTATGAACCAATACTATGTGTATATTTTTATCGTATAATTTTTAAATAACTAAACTATTCATATTCATATCCCTCTTATCATGAGCTTCATTTTGACCTAAGAACTATTATTATACGTTTTACCATTCTTGAATTATGCCCTGTCTATGAATCACTACCTCCCACATTCACAGCCATATTCCGCCAAATCTTGTACAAATGTTGTTTTCTATTTTATGGTACGATGTGGCCTGTTTGATTGGTATATAAACGCCGTATGTTTGAAATAAATGATTCATATCACAGAGGCTAAGATTGGTATTCTAAACTTAACTGGCTGGGCTAGACAGGAATCAGGACCGATATGGACTCGAGATTGCTCGTACTTGTTTTAAGCGTCATTGGTCCGATCGATAATTCAATGCTCTCTAATTGACGGCCACAAGTTAGAACAAATCTTACTACCTCTACTACTATGGGATTTGAATCGACAATTGTCTCTGTGTGCTAATGTGATTTGGCAACTCGAACTGATGTACATACGTAAGAAGTTTTACGTTGTTGACTATTTATTTAGATGCATGGAACGTCCTTCATTATGTCATTCATTGTAGTTAGATTGATTTCATTCTAAACTTTACAAATAACATTGAATTCATCTATCTTTTTTTATAGAATTCTTATGAATTTTAATATTATCCATAGATTTTCAGAAAAATAAATTTACAGTTGATTTGATAAAATGATTTAATTTACACTTTCTTCTTTGTTATCGATACTACTTATAAACTTTGTTTATGCATTTGTATGTGTGTTTGTGTTGATGTTTACGTCAAATACTTTCATGTAAATTAGTAATATGTCTAGATTTTGTCTGTTCACTGAAGGATACTAGACAATTAAATAATAACTTATTGTTATCCGTCACAACTATATACCATAGTTATAGTTATTATAAACTCCTATAATTACTACGATAAATGTATTCAATTATGGATCTAATTGAACTAAAATGTAACGATAAATTATGAATCGTATTCTCTTGCTGAGAATTACTTTCCGTAATTGATTCTTTTGTTTATTGAACTGGAGACTGAAAAAGGATTTTCATAGTCGATAACTCACAT